TAGGAGGGATGGGGTGAGGGGAGGGAGAGGGAGAAGGGACTTACATGTGAAACAAGCTTGTTCCCTAACTACAACTAATAAATAAATAAATTAAATAAATAAATAAATAAATAAATAAAAGATGTTCCTTCTTTGAAAGTAGTAATTTTAAGGGACTAGAGAGATGGTTTAGCTATTAAGAGCACTTGCTGCTCTCCAGAGAACCAAAGTTGGGTTATCAACACCCATGTCAGGAAGGTCATAACCACCCGTAACTCCAACTCCAGCAAATTCTATCCTTTCTTCTGGCCTCTAAAGGTACCTCTACCCGTGAGCACATGCACACACGCGCACACACACACACACACACACACACACACACAAATATGCACACAAACACAGAGTAATAATCTTAGAGAGATCTTTTGATACGTAGATAAAGAATTAAAGCAAAAATATACTTTAAAGGTAGCTAAAATGGAAGGCAGCAATATCATTTTTGTGGGGAGTGAAGAATTTCTTTTGATTTGTTGACTAATTTTAAATTTCACTCCAGCTTTTGAACTTATAATTGATAAATGGTTCAGGAAAGACTTGTGTCAGCCTCACATCTAATTTGTGAGCTTTGGTAAAAGGGCTACTACTGAGAAAATTCACCTTTGGGTTTCTCTGCCACATGAAACAGCAACAGGCTTTCGGGGGAATTTCATTCAGTCTTGCATCATATAGGAACACGGAATGTTTCCAGTACACAGTAGGTGCTTACTAATGTTTACTGAACGAATTCGTCAACTGCCTTTGTCTGTCCTCTCAACATACATGTATCTTGAGAAGCATTACTGTTGCAGTTTCGCCATAGTTTGGAGCTGTGAGCTTCTCCCCATTTGAAGGTGAGAGACCATGTAATTCAGTGGCCCTCAAATATTATCCATGAATTGGTGATATCTGAATCTCAGAGATATGCCAAACTGGGTTCCCTTCTAACAGTTTTGAATTCCGCAGTCTGTGATGGTGGCTGCATCGCCGAACTGTTGGGAAGCTCTTTGCTGCACGTGATACAATTTTTAGTTTTGAGTTGTGTGTTTCTAGTGAAGGGACCAGTTCCCCTTTCGGCAGCCATAACGGCCGAACATGTGCTTCTATGTCCTTGTCCTAGACACTAGAAAGTCAGATACCTGTCTCATGACAAGGAACCTTAGTCACTAGAAAGTCAGATGTCTGCCTCATGACAAGGAACCAATCAGAAGTTAGCTGGTGGCGCTATGCTTTACGACCCTAGGTGTGCGGACAAGCGCACAGCAATGACGCACAAAGTATAGCAACCACCCTGGGAGGGCCTATGGGCCATAACAACCAGTTGACCAATCAACACAGGGCAAGCCCTCCAAGCCTGGAGGCACACCAATCCTGAGCCTGTATGTACCCCTAGACACTCCCCTTACGCTGTCCTATAAGATCTCTCGGGAGCCCCTAGGAGCCGTCTTTTGTGAGCCATCCACCATGGCGGGTGGGTGAAAGACCCGAGCTAACATGGGGTTAGCTCGTTAAATTACAATAAAGCCTCGTGCAGTTTGCAGCAAGCTCTGGAATCCGCCTGGTGATTGGGGTGACCGAGAACGTGGCCTGGGACCCCGGATACTTGAGTTTCCGGGGGTCTAACACTAGTTCTATTCTAATTTTAAAGGTTAGGACACTGGTATCTTAAGGTATCAGTTCAAGGCCATACATCAGATGGGTCAGATTTTAGTTTTTGATGAGAGTCTCAAAAGTATCATCTATTCCATGTGCTTCCTAAGCCTATCAAGAGGTAGAAGCCATACCTGGTACCTCTGACCCTGGGCAGGCTTTCATGATGACTTTAACTGATAGAGGATGGTATATACAGCTCCATGTGACTTCTTAAGGTAAATCAGAAGACTTTAGGAATGTCTATCTGTTGTGCTGTTTGGGGATTCTAGCTTCTGGAGCTCAGTGACTATGTTGCCTGGAAGTCCAGGCCATCTGTGGAGACAGCACCTGAAGCTCCAACCCAGCGCCTTTGCTGATGTCATCCTGTCATCCAGCACAGATTGTCTTCCATGTGAGCAAGAAAGTGGATTCTCCTGTCCTAATGGGAATTGCCTCAGTGCACACCAGAAGGTAAGCATATAGGGGCAAGCCATTCCCTATAGACTATAGCTTTGAGGGCAAGATAAATAATTTTTTTTTTTTTTTTAAGTTTTAGGATGTTTAGATAACTGAAAACTTTGGAATTAGTGCTTGAGTCAATATTTTTGCCCATTTATATTATTGGCTAAGGAGTCAACATTATTGTTACCATAACAACTAAATGTGACCTATACTCAAATACCACCTTTATCATGTGATATTTGTGATATTGTATTATTTGTGATATTGAACACACTGCCTTTGACCTTTCTTTATCTTTACCATCTTTGCTTCAAGTATGAAATGATGGTGATCTCATAAGAATAAATGAGACATGTAAAATGTGAAGGCATGTATACGAGAAAAGGAAGTTATTTTCATTGTTGATTGAGTCTAAGAGGATAAACCCAAATGCTACTGTGTTCCAGTTTTCTTTTCAAAGAGTTCCAAGAAAGACATGAGATTTTTTTTTTTTTTTTTTTTTTTTTTTTTTTTTGTGTGTGTGTGTGTGTGTGTGTGTGTGTGTGTGTGTTCGAGCTTGGTAAGACAATAGCATCTTCAGTATTAATCTTATGTTGAGTTCCTAAGGGGTTGCTTGTATGTTAAAAAGAGCATTAGACAAGCGGAAGGAAGAATCCCAAACCCGAGGAATTTCTTCCAGTGGATCCCTGCTGCAGGCTATTCTCATTAAAATGACTGGAAGTGACCACAGAGGCTGAGCTCAGCCAGCCTGGATTTTTTTTTTTGTTCTCTTGCAGAAGGCAAGGAGCTGGTTTTAGCGCCAGCTCAGCAATTCAGCCACCTTGACACGCTAATTACTTTCACTGCCTGTCAAGCTGAGCATCTCAGCCTCCACAATTAATAGCTCTACTTTCAATAAGCAAAATTGTATTTGACTTCAAAGGAGGAAATGAATGAATATCTATCGGGGCATTTTTATTACTGAGTTTCCTTAGGGAGTTAGCGGGCAGTGTGGGTGGTAAGACCTGTGGGAGCAGGGATTTTCTTGGACCATCAGAGTGCTGAGGGTCAAACAGTGCCTCCCACAAACAGGCCCCCACAGGTCAGTCTGGCTTACCTGACTTCAGAAGTAAAATCTGGTCGTTCTGACACAACTCCATGAAGCCTGTAATCCGCTTTGCGAACTCCACCACATACTGGATGGCGTGGGTGATCTGGATGGCACACTGCTGCCACAGAGCCTCCCTGGACTGAAGCAGAGGACACAGGCCTTGAACTCACCTCCTCCAAGGAGCTGATGAAATGTGCATGCCCCTCCCCACTTGTTACTGCCACCCAATGTGGGAAATCAAGTGATTTTGTTTTCCTTTCTCTTTGGAATTATGTGAATACCAAATGTGAATTTGGTAAAATTTGACCAAGTCAAAGTACCTAGTTTACCAAAGCCAAACTAGGAGAAACAATGTTTACACTAGGTACTTTGACTTGGTCAAAGTACCTAGTTTACCAAAGCCAAACTAGGAGAAACAATGTTTACAGATGCAAAACAACTATTTTCTTTACTATTGTCCCCATTTCTTATGGCAACAAACTTGCTTAGTCTGCTAGATAAAAACAAACCTGATGTAGTGATTTTATCTTAGCATCTATCATAATACTTTTGTTGTTGTTTGTTTGTTTGTTTGTTTTTTGTTTTTTAAATGGGAACCTGGTAGACACAAACGTAATATTTTTATGTTGTGTTCTTTCCTTAGATTTTAAGGAAAAAAAATTCTGGGTGGGGGGTGTTTGCTGTGTAGCCAAGACTGGCCTAGAACTCAATTTGGAGCTCACAGGGGCCTCAGATCTGCAAAATCCTTCTGTCCTGGCCACCTCGAGTGTGGGAATTGCAGGCAAAAGCCACCAAACTTGAGTCAGAATTCTTTTCTTTTGTATAAGAGAAATTCAAAGGAAAGATATGAGTTCAAGTCAAGTTACTCTAGTAATACAGAACTTCAAATGTATTTTAATACTTTCGTCATTTTCTTTGAACTAAGAAATCTAAATCTATGTGACTTTGAAGTCTACATTTTATGGATCTTCTAATGTCCATTTCCATAATTATGCAAAGGTAGCAAAAATTAGATCACCATGTTGTTTAAATCATACGTTTAGATAAGCACATTCAGTTTACTCAATTTCCCTCAACTGGTAGAACTTGTGGTTGCCAGTCTCAGTTCCAAAGTCAAGTAATACGAATCCTGAGCCCCAAGGAACAACTCTATCCCTTCAATGTGTCTAGTGTACTTAGGGAAACATGATTATTACTGATAGTACAAGATGAACTACCCTTTTCTAGGACCTTTTTCAAGAATGTTGGGCAAGAATAAAAATGCAGAATGCTTTGCTTCCTGTGTTTGTTAAGCAATGTTGGGCATCATTTTTGTTGTGACCATCTAATGTCTTCTGCTCCTTGTCTGAACCCATAGCTACCAGAAGTCCCAAACCATCTGACAGAGGCACCGTCTCCCTGGTTGTTCAAGTGGGGCCATGGCTTACAATGAGGGCAGTTATGCCTTCCAAGGAACTTTTGGCAAGAAGCAGACATTTTTGGTTGCCACAGCTGTGTGAAAGTTGGTATGTTGTAGATATTCTCAGTCAATAGAAACCAGAGAGGCAGAAAATTGCCCCTACAATGCACAGGATTAGCCCAACAGCCAAGAATGCTCAGGCCAAAAATGTCAATAATATTGAGAAAAGAAACCAGAAATGAGCAATTACAGAGACAATCCCCATGGTTCCTGGAGTACCTTGCTTTGATACGCTTTTATTTCCTCATAGGTGTGGGTCTGCCATGCCAACTGATGTAGCTCTTCCATTGTGTACTGACATGTCTCCAGATGGGACTTAATGATGTTCTGTGCAATTCGATCTATGAGAAAAAAAAATCAATTTGAAGTTTTGTGAGTAAAATCTTTCCACTCCAAGAAATGGTTTCTAGAAGATGTTTGTGTAAGGGTGTGGCTAGTGATGGGCTAACTATACAATCATATGAAAACATCTAAACTCCACTTCTCACCTTACAGCATCCAAACTATTGTCTTTTGGTCAAAAGTTTCTCATCTCCTTGTCGATAGCTTTGGTGTCTTACAAGTTGTAAAGCATTCAAATAACTGTTTGCCTTGAAAACACATAATAAATTACTCCATTGTTCACCTTTTGGTTGACATTTTCTAAACAATTTAACACACCTATTCCAAATACACAAAAATGTTTTGAAAAACACTGAAATGGTTTTATACTTGAAAGAGGAGATTAAATACACATATGTATTCTCATATTTAAAAATAGGACTAAATGATACAATGAAAGAGAAAGGTGTTTATAAATATAGAAGGGAAAACAAAGTAGAAAAACAAAACTTCATCCAGGGACATGTATTTTCATCTCTATTTATGGCTATGTCTATCTCTCACAGTTAACACCAAGAGTAGGGTAGATATGAAATAACATTGGCTTATGGGTAAGTAACTAATGAAATTTGTTCATGGAGCCATTAAATTTAATCTTAAAACATTTTCCTATGATGATACTTATGTCAAAAGGTTATAAACAAGGAAATAATCATATCAACAAAAGAAGAGGTGAGTCCGGCGTTAGTGGCACACGCCTTTAACCCCAGCACTCGAGAGGCAGAGGCAGGCGGATCTCTATGAGTTCGAGGCCAGTCTGTTCTCCAGAGTGAGTGCCAGCATGGGCTCCAAAGCTACAAAGAGAAACCCTGTCTCAAAAAACAAAAACAAACAAACAAACAAAAAAAGAGTAGGTGACAGAATATCTTTTGGGCTGGGTTTCTTTTTTTGGTTGTTGTTTGTTTGTTTGTTTGTTTGGTTTGTTTGTTTTTTTTTTGTTTTTTTTTTTGGTTTTTTTTCGTTTTTTTGTTTGGTTTGTTTTTTTTTTTTTTGTTTTTCGAGACAGAGTTTCTCTGTTGCTTTGGAGGCTGTCCTGGAACTAGCTCTTGTAAACCAGGCTGGTCTTGAACTCAGAGATCCATCTGCCTCTGCCTCCTGAGTGCTGGCATTAAAGGCATGCACCACCAATGCTCAGCTCCTTTGAGCTGTTTGTCTCAAGTAAGTTGTATTTTATATTGTCTTATGTTGCTGTTATTTTGGCTTTGATTGAGTGATAGAACTGGACAGGAAAGCTCTCTAAGCTAGCTAAGAGTCGCCTGTGTCAGATGGAATTGTCTGGCGGTCCTTCATAGTCCCATGTGCTGTTTGAACACATGGAAATGAGGGAAGCTAGGGGGGTATGCAGGGAATGATCAAGTCTGCCTGGTCACTGATGTTCTTGCAGAAACTTTCTTGTGTTTCAGGTGCTTTTGGAAATGTAAGCTTGCTTTTTGTTCTAAATGTTTTTACTTTGTTTTTCTAGGATAGTCCTGAAAGTAATGTTGGTGCCCTATTTGCTCCTCACTGTATTTCTGGTGTATATGGTGTGAAGTTGGTTGACTTTCAGTAGCACAGAAATATAAGTATAAGCTATGCTTCTAGTGAACTTTGTAAATGAAGTTCTCCTTAGCTGATTGGCACTTTGGAAACTCTGAGTCAATCACTGGGAGGACATTCTGTCTGATTTCTGGCCAGGAAAGCAGACTGAACAGTTGAATGTAGACAAAAGAAAGTTATTTGATATTTTAGTCAGTTGGGAGACATTTCAATACATGTTAGCATTTTTCAAACCAGAACTATAAAGTGACAGAGATAAAGACACTGAAAAAATGCCAACTTACGATGACAGTCATATTGTATTGGCTTCAACATCAACATTTCTAGCTTTTTAGCATATTATATTGCAAAATCCTTTTCTTACAAAAATCTTATATTCAAAGTTTATTGAATATCCTCCTATGTTATAAAGAAAGGTGGGAATTGCTCTCTACATTATATTAAAATAGATTGGTAAGTCATGGTTCATTATTTTTCAATTTCATTTGGGGAGTCTAATTATATATATTCTAAAAATTAGATATCTGTTCCCCAATAGTTATGTAATGAAAACCTAACACTAAAGCTTTACAATTTTCAGACCTAGAGTGGCTTGTTTTTATCTTCAAAGGTATGCTGATTTGTTGGTGACTCTCAGGCTTCAGGGTTTATAAGCAAAACTAGAATTACTACTTGGAATTGCTTGTGACTGAGGAGCTACTCTTCCAGGTTATCTTCTACAAACTATGGAGAGAAGTTTAAGAATCCTCTGGTATTCTGCCACTTAACATTTGTAGTTTTATGGTGTATTGAAGAGGAGCACAGGGACCATCAATATGAGGAAGAGCTAAGAAGATTGGACATTGAGTCTGCACACTAACTTCAGGACTGGGTTGCGTGTACACTTGTAGTGAAGGCTTCCCTGCCTCTTCATGGCCTCCTATGGAAGGGCTGACTTCCTTCCACATACTGTGACTCTCCCTCCTCATGTTGAGTTCTGATTCTATCTAGGCTGATAGTGTGGTTATTTCTGTGGAACTGTCTGTCTCAGACCCTTCAATACTCTGAGCTTTCCAAGAACTGGAAAACAATGTTATGTGCTCACTTAACAATTTTGTTTTTTAAAGCAACTGCTATATATCAAGTCAAGGTATAGACTAAAACAACAACAACGACGACAACAACAACAACAACAACAAAACATTGATTTTATCTTTTACGATCTAATAATAGTGTTATAGTATGATGAAACAAATGCCCTTAATTAACGACAACAACAACAACAACAACAACAACAACAAAACATTGATTTTATCTTTTACTGAAGGAACCGGCTTCCCTTTTGGCAGCCATAACAGCCGAACACGTGCTTGCCATAAACCTACCTTGGTCACGTAGAGGTCAGATGCCTGTCTCGTGACAAGGAGCCAATCGGAAGTTAGCTGGTGGCGCTATGCTTTACGACCCTGGGTGTGCTTTACGGACAAGCGCACAGCAATGACGTAGAGAGCATAGCAACCACCCTGGGAGGGCCTATGAGCCATAACAACCAGTTGACCAATCAACACAGGGCAAGCCCTCCAAGCCTGGAGG